AGTTAGGGCCTTGCTCTGTTAAGGCTTTGACTTAAGGGAATGTTATGGCTGGTTTGATCTTCTATCCAGACCACTCAGACTTTTCCCATGTCAGCAATAAGGCTGATTTGCTTTCTTATCATTCATGTGTTCCCTGGAGTAGCACTTTTAATTTCCTTTAAGAACTCTTCATTTTCATTTGATGCTGTTTTATACAAGATACTTAGCTTTTGGCCTTTCTCTGCTTTCGACATGCCTTCCTCACTAATCTTAAACATTTCTAGCTTTTTATTTAAAATGAGAATTTAAAGTGAGAGACATGAGTGCTTAATTGGCCTAATTTCAACATTATTGTGTGTGTCTCAGGGAATTAGGAAGCCCTGAGGAGAGGGGGAGAGTTGGTCAGTGAAACAGAACACACACAATATTTATTAGGTTCCCCGTCTTATATGGGCATCTTTCATGGTGCCCCAAAACAATTACAACAGTAACATCAAAGATCACTGACCACAGATAACTATAACATATATATTCATAATGAAAAAGTTTGAAATATTGCCAGAATTAACACCAAAATGTGACACAGGGACACGAAGTGAGCAAATGCTGTTGGAAAAATGGCACCAATAGACTTGCTCAACTCAAGGTTGCCACAAAGCTTCAATTAAAAAAAAAAAAGGACCTTTAAAGCACAATAAAGGTGAAGCACAAAATAACGAGGTTATGCCTATACTGGATTTTAACTCCTCCTTTTCCAAGAGTACATAATTACAGAAATATTCTGCTGCAAACTTCCCACATTTTTAGGCTGCTACTGTTTCCTTTTTCTTCATTATACCAACTGGAGATAATTACAGGTAGAACTTTAAGAGATGTTCTGTGCAATACATCTTCAGAACTAATAAATTTAGAAACATATTGCACTCAGGATTAACTAGATCTCCTACATTCTGCAAAATGTTCTCTAAAAATTCCTGCCAGTTTCTTTTTGTGGGAAAGAAGAGACAGTCAATCTTATAAGTGTATTTAAAAATTAAATTACTTCATAAAATGGTGGATAGCTAATAAAGTACATGTATAATTCTTGGACATTTCCTTTGTGATCACTTGGTTTTCATCCCTAAAGCCAGCACTTTCCTTTTAATGATTAATTTAAATTAAATTAAGTGCACTTTCAGATCTTTAGCTTGAAGGGATGAATAAGAACCTGTTTACTGCTCCAGCAGATCTATAGATCTAGCATATGTCAACATCAGCATCCATTCGTCACAACAGGAAACATACTGCCTCCTTCACATGCGTGGGCTCATTTAATTCTTATAGCATCTCCATGCAGTAGACATCATTGCATATTTGCATCCCATAGGGGAGAACAATTTGATGTTAATTAACCTGCCCAAAGCTACATAATTCCTTAATAACTGAGCCAGGATTTTAAAAAAATCTTTCTTACTCCAAAGTGAATGTCTATAAAATACACTTAATCTGACCCCTTCAAATGGGTATTTCTCAGAGCTTCAAGGCTGATCTTACAAAGCAGCCATCTCAGTAGAATGTCCTAAGACCACCATCCAAAAATACCTCCACCAAGTATCTGTACAGAAATCTAAAATTCATCTCTTTCAAATTGTACTGTTTAATGTAAAGGATTGGTCCTTATTTCATATACCCCTTAGAGGCAACGTATTAAATCTTACCTGCTAATTTGCTCTCTATTATCACATCTTCTCTTTCTTTCCTCTTCTCTCAAGAAAACATTTTTTCTCCTTGCCTCGGACTGCTGCCATCCTTTCCTACTTCCTCTAGGGCAGTGGATCTTGAATAGCGTTCCAGGTCCTCACGGCTGGGCTCTGTCTTCTAAGCCTCTCCTCAGCCACAGAAACTAAGTCTTCGCTTTATGCTTCTCATATCGCATCTATTTAAATTACAGCTCTCAAGGCTAAACAATGATACAAAACACTTCTCTAGCATTTTTTTTCTCTCAAATATTCACCCTTTCTCTTGCACCTCAAGTCTCTAACTTTTTATGCTATTTCCCTCCTACACACTTAGTGAGCTACCTTGCTTTAAACTTGGGGATGATGAATAAGATCACTGAGCATTTTTCTTTTATTATGAAATAATGAGCATTTTATTTTATTTTATGTGCTAGAGTTGCCATAACAAAGTATCACAGACCAGCTGGTTTAAACAACAAAAATTTATTTTCTCAGAGTCTTGGAGGCTAAATGTCTAAGTTCAAGGTGTCAGCAGAGTTGGTTTCTTCCAAAGCATCTCTCCTTGGTTTGTAGATGGCTTTATATTTGGCCATAGACTATATGTGGAGATAGGATTTTTACATAGGTAATTTAGTTAAAATGAGATCATTTGGTGAGACTTAATGTAATTCAATATGACTGGTGTCCTTATAAAAAGAGGAAATGTGGACACAAACACACACTAAGGGGAGAACATGTGAAGACAAATGGAGAAGATGACCAGCTTCAAACCAAGGAAAGAGGCTGCAGAAGGAACTCAGCCTACCAACACCTTGAACTTGGTCATTTAGTCTCCAGGGCTGTGAGAAAATGAATTTCTGTTGTTTAACAGCCTGTCTGTGGTTTTGGCAGTCCTAGCAAGTTAATATGTTGGTAATTTTTAAAAAATGGCTTCATTAAAGTAATGGAAGCAGAAAACAAATCTGACTGAGAGGAAGAACTAATAGGAAGCAAGAAAATAAGAAACACAAGTCATAGTTATATGAAGAACCCAAAAAGAACAGTATACTTCTTGAATCACTCTTATACATTCAAGAACCTTATTTTTAAATGAAATTTTAAATATATTATCATCTACAAATTGCTACAAAAGATAAACTCCATTTTATTTTGTCTTTGGAAGCTGTTTTATATCAATAGATATTCAAATATGAGAGTCTTTAGTGTACAAATAATTAGCATTTCCTTAAGACACTAATTTGGAATTCGTGACCATTCAGTCTGAGGCTAATATGACATTCTTCTCACTTTCTACGAGGAATCTAGCAGTTGATTATGACCAAACTCACTCTGTTTCCTAAATTAAAAGTAGGCAAACATTTTCTGCCATCTGGATTGATAATAAAACATCAAGTGCAAATCGAATGATTCTCAAAAATCTGTGCCAAGTGGTAATTTCAGTCACAGTTGAGAGAGGCTCGTGGAGATCATGAACAGGTGAGAGCAAGAGAGAATAAAACATCCTGGCCAATGTAAAAGCTACTGATTATGATAAAGTGATAATTCTTTTAGAAATAGAATATGTCACTACTACACAAAGTCAGAGACCCAGATGTCAGACAAATGTAAGGACACGGGCAAGTTCAGACCACACCAGGGAAGCAAGAGAAAGGGCATGCATGACAGGCTTATGCATTCAATTTCCCAGGTCAATCAGAAGGGGCCCAAGGAAGCTGACAGGTAAGTGCACGGTTAAAGCTAAAGATATGTGTGAAAAATATGCATGTAGTTTGAACAACATACTGGGCTCATCTTTAACACTTGGGACATGCATCCTAAGGTTCAGCGTGTGTGCAACTAGCCCATGAGTTTTAATTTCAGGGAAGAAGTCAGCTTTATGGGCTTTAGTCATTTCCGTGGGAGGGTAAATGACAGCTGGCTGATAGTAATGCCTCCAAGAATACAGCCGCCTTCTAAGGTCCCTGTAATGACAAGAGAGGGCTAAGAAGCTGCGATTAACTAGTTAGGTGAGCAAAGAGTAATGTCTGTGTCAAACCTTACCATCCTCTAGAAGCCAACCCCCATGCACTTCATAAATGCAGGAGAATGACAGAAGAATTTAGGGGGATCATAATTAGGAGTACAAGTTCCCTGTCCATTTCCAACTTCTATCTGCAAATTTTTGAGGCAAATATTAAAAAGGAAAGGGTCATTTGTAATGGGTAACAGGATCTATAATTCTCTTAGAGAAGTGTCTCATTGTTACCAAGCATCTCAAGTCAGTTTCGTAAGAGTGATAATGACAGATGGCCAACTCCTCCAATGTGTTCATGATGTCACCAAGTTTTAAACAATAAAGCAAAAAAAAATCCAATTTGTTTTAAGAAGTGATTTCATTTCTAATAGTTAGCATTTTGTAAGCCTTAGCAGATAACAGTTCAACATAACATTGAAAAAATTAGCTCACAAATTTCATATATCTTTTCAGTGAACTGAACACCTAAAATAACATCTCATAATTTCTCAAAAATTATACTTAGATAATGATGAAAATAATCAAATTGTCATCTGAAGATAGAGCCTTTGTTTAAGTTCCCAGTACCTGGTGAGATTAAATACTTAAAGTAAGATAAATTATGATATAATGCTACTCAATCTGCTACAACTACTCAAAATTTTTCTTTTGAAGGGCATTTAGATAAATTAACTTTGCATTTTCCTCTGATGTTATATCCTCAATTTGTGTCTTTAGAATCTATAACTCATTTTTTCTCATATGGTAAAATTACTTGATTGAATAAAATAAATCTCAAAATTCAGAAATCAACACCACCTTTTCTTTGCAATTTTGACTGTTGAATGATTCCCATCATTACCTGAACACAAAGCTAAAGAAACAAGAAATTACATATTTTAAGTGCCAGTTAAATCTTTTCCTTTAAACTATTCTTTTTAGTTGAATAGGTTTCTAAGAGAAGAACTATCAAATTCTTCTTTTTTCTCTGAAAAGACTTATCACTTGGATTTTACCATTTACTTACACATTAGGAATCCAAGTCACTAATGCATTAAAATCTTTAAAAGGGCAAATATCACCATCAGGTTAGCATGAGAAGGTAGCATACTCTGCTTGTGACATGAAGCAGTTCAGAAGTGTGCGATGACTCACATGGGGTTAAAACAAACATGTTCAGACATGGCACCTCTTAAGCATTGCAATGACGGTGCCATTTGTTCCACACTTGCCCCAGTGATAACTTTATTCGCAGGTCATTAGAAATGTACATCAATGTATAAAAATATGCAAACACATTTCTTCAGTGAAATTTCTCAACATTCTTTGTTGTAGTAACCATCTGTCTCCTAACATCATCCAAACCCACAGGTCTCTTTGTAAAGAACCAGGATGCCATATAATCACATACTGAATTGCGGACATCATGGAAAGCAGGATTTCCAGAAATATTTGCGCTCACCTTCAGCAATACATCAATCCCTTATAAGAATCTGTTAGCAACTTATTGATTGTAAGCAAATGGACAGTTCTTTCCTCTACGTCCACAAATATTGGTTTTGTTCAAGGAAAGTCTGAACCTAGAACTGTTAGGCTTCTTTGGCTTTCACAGTTGCCAAAAATAAAATTTTAAGTGTATTGTCTAGCTTAATTCTGAGGCCTGTCTTCTCACTTCATCCCTGTCTGCCAACAGCCCCACCAGTTCACCTCCAGCTACCTGTGCTGGGACACAGGTTTGGCACAGTATTTTTAACTCTTGTCAACTCTTACTGTTGCATATTGTAATTATTTAATGTGGGATTAGCTGAATGATGTCTGTCATAAAAAAGTATTGTTGCAGAAATGCTGTTGTCTTCTGCCGCCTTCAGTTTCCTGCTCTTCAATATCATACACTTAAATTTTCCATAGAAAGGAGTAAGTAACAATTTATGTCAACCACGATAACTCGAACTGCTGAGAGGAACAGAAATGAGGAGGATTTTTGGCAAAGCGTGATAACCATGTGGGAGCAAGTGGGAAATAGAAATTCCCAAGAAGCAGAGTTTAGAAAAGTTTACAGAGAGATGGTTAAGTGAGAAAATGATACTACTTACTGTGGTTTTAAAAAAAAGTTAAAAGAAAAAAAGTTAAAAAGAAATTTTGATGCATTCAAAAATAATATTTCGATTCAGTTAGATAGCTCAGTAAATGGGGAAAGCCTGTATCTGCAGGTCCCCCAAATAACTCTTAGGTGTATCTGAGACATTCGTATATCCAAACAATAAAGCCAGATTTTTGTTTTCTACATCAACTTAATATCAAATATTTCTTATTGCTAGTTAACATCAACTTAATATCAAATAAACTAGCAGTAAGAAATATTTCACTGTGACAACGCTAACATATATGGTTGAGAAAAGATTTTTGATTAAGATGTGTGATTTAGTTTCCCAGCGTTAAGAATAAAATAAGAGAAAAGTAGATCCCTGTTCTTAGTTCTCTGTCTGAGATTAACCTTTAATTCTATGGATATATTTTTGGGTGTTAACGAATTTCCCAGCTTTATATTAGTACAAGTCATACTCTGCTCTCAAAGAGTTCACCATCTAACGCAAAGAGAAATACAGAGACAGTTAATAAACAACAGAGTAGCTGATAGAAAGGAAAGCAGCGCGGCAAACCATTTACGTCTGTGTGGGGCTGCTAGAGGTTTCACAAAAATAGTTACACTACTTCTTAAGAGAAGACTTACATGATGAGGTCTTGAGGAACTCCTGCAAAAAGAGCAACCAGAGTCTGTATTAAGTAGAGGAGGATAAAGCATTCATGAGTCATTTCAGCATTTTCAGTTGAGAACAACCCCATTTGGAGTGGTTTTTATCTCTTTCTCTCATTCAGTCCCACTTAGGATTACTTGCCTTATTGTTTTATTACTCCTATGAGTAAATACTAAGTTGTTTTAGGACAACCAAAGAACTGTCAAAGTCGGACTGGTTTGTAGAGACTTGAGGGACACTGAGGTATCCTACAGATCTGAGATAGTAACCA